ATTATTATGCAGCTGGCCTACACTGGATCACAGATAAGATTTTTAATTTCAGTGAAAGATTAGTGAAATTGGAGATAGCATACCTTGAAGAAGGAATACATAATCAAATATGGACCAAGAATCTTTAAACAAAGCATTGATCCTAAATAATAGCCATGTATTCAGAGATGGTTTAATAAAAAATTGGTAACTTATGTGAAGAAGAATTAGTCCTCCAATCTCTTGTTTGTTGTCTCCAATAGAAGCATACTGTGGAAAACTTTTCAGGAAAAATAATAATTCTATAACATATGGAGACATGGTTGACCAACAAAGATGAATTAAGTTGTGTCAAGAATAAAAAATGAAGGAAAAAATATAGAATGGTTCCTTTATTATCAATTGGATTTCAAGATTAAAAAAGGAAACTCAAACAGGAAAAAGCATAATAAGGAATCTTACTGGAATATAGTTAAAGGAATTAATTAACTATAATTAAACATCAAAAAGACCATCTCCTAGGATAAATTTATATACATGCTTAAACATGATACTGAAACTCAGCAAGTTAAAATATCTATGACATGCTGGTCACAAAACTTTGAGGAAGAAATGCAATCACGTCAATGAGAAGTCTTATGAACAAAAGATATAAAATTCACTGCAAGTCAAATGTTAAGAGAAAACTGGTATAAGATGTATTTTTGGTGGCATATTATCCTGAAAGATATACAGAAAATGGATAAGAACTTTAATGGAAAATGTTGGAAATGAGAACAATGGGACATTCTACCATGTGTGGTGGACATGTGTTAGAACTAAAAGATTTTGAAAGCAGTTGAATATGAAAATGTAGAATATACTTAAAGTGGACTTTCCAATGAACACTAAGAATATGCTATTGAGTATTGTACCAGAGACTATCCCAAAGAATACGACAGAGTTATTTAAATACAGTGGAAGAATGATAATTGCTTCAGAGTGGAAAGCTGAAGACTGTCCAACTGTCAAGGATTGGAAAATCAAGTTAGCTGACTATGCAATAAGGGCACAATTAACTAACTACATTAACAGAAGGCCAGTCAAAGAATTTACCCAAAGATGGAAAGCTTATTATGAGCAATTTAATTAATTGTCGAAGAAAATATAGTTTTTATAAATGTCAGTAATTACTACTTTCACGTCAAAGCAATAGACTTAATAAATTTTGTCTGACTGAGAATTGAATTATTTTGATGGGATTATAGATCAGATTTTTGCTTTTTTATGAATAAAATTTGAAAGATTTGAAAGAAAATGAAGAAGAAAATGACTCAAGACTTTCCATTTTTGGCAGGTTTAAAATGTTGTGCACAGGCCAAGATCTTTTTCGGAAAAGTATGAAATCATTTCTCTCAGGAAAAAACCAAAACCAAACAACAAGCTAAGCTTCCAGGCTCCTTTCTCCATACCAAGGTGCTTTTTAAATAAATCTGCCACTATTGCTTACTAAACCATTCCTACTTGCTTTTTAACACCCCCAGCACATCTTCTGGGGAGAATGACCCCTGGACTTCCCTTCGAAGTTGTCCCTCCCTTTTATACAGCCACTTAATTTAAATAACCTGACTTCTATAGAAGCAATTCGCTTAAGGTACATGTAGAGTCAGTGTGGTGCAGAGACTAGTGTTGCACAGGAATTCAAGAGATAGGGGCTTTAGTACCCATGTGGCCATGAAGCTCACGGGGTGATTTTGAGCTATTCACTATCTCTCAGACTAACCTCCCTCACAGGGCTGCTGTTATGAGGATTAAAAGGGAGAGGAGGAGACTCTCGTAAAACACTTCAGGCTACTTGCACAAGGAAGAAAGTCAAGGTATGAATGTAACGTAACAACAATAACATGTGCTATTGTGAGCATGTGTTCATCTGCTATGGACACAACTCTATCATGGGAAAAGTTAAGAGACTTTTACACAAATGATCCCTTAGTATTTTTTGTATTTTCAAGAATGAACTTGATATAATTGTAAGTGAATTGAACCAATAGAAATCCAGGTTTGTGCATTTTTCTAAGTGTATGTTGCTTATTAATTAATTAATTGCGTTTATATACTGCCCCATAGCCCAGGGGGATCTCTGGACAGTGCACAGTATACACTAGAGTCCATGAATGAGACCCTCCTTCTAATTCAGCTTAGCTTTGGGTGTGTTCATTGTGTGATACCTCTCTGCAATTAAAATTTCATCTCTTCTGTGCAATTCCTTTGAGAATTCAAAAAGTAAAACAAAATGATGGATTTAATTCCCTTGCATTCCTGTCCAAACCTTCCTCCTCCTAAGCTTTCAAAGAAAGGGCACAGATATATTGTGTAAAAATCAAATTTCAATTAGCTACCATGGATGTTTAAAGTTCTTGTTTATCACATTCCTGCCACAACTTATTAGAAATACAGGTATACTCAGCCAAAATGCTGTCTGGGTAGAAATTTGGTAGAATTTTTTTTTTTTTTTTAATACAGAGGACTTACTGAATTAAACTGACACACACTGTCGTGTGTGGGCAGTCTGGCATGGAAACAATCCACACTTTCACGAGCAATAAAACTAAAGTACTTTAATGCTAATTACCTACAAGATTTACATCTCTATAGATAAGCCCTTCAACTGAGGTCTTTGGTATGCAGATGTTAACTCTCTAATGGCTTCTCTCCCCAGCCCACGTGGGTCTACTCCTCCAAGTCACGCCTTTCTTCCCTCTGACGTAACAAAGATTGTGGCTGTTCATATCTTCGTAAAATGCGGCGATTGGATGCTCGAGAGAAATCCGGGCTCAGGGGTTTGCTCAATGGGCCGGGAGTCGGAGGGAGGTGCAGCTGCTTGCTCATCTGCCCCTAGACTTGGTTGTGGGGTCGGCTTTGGGCACGGGGTGCCAAGCACAAGACCTCCTCGTGAGTCACTGTCTCTGTCAGGGCTGCATGCACGACACACTCAAAAGAAGACCAGCAACCATCAGCACCAGAGGGAGGAGCACAACCAGGCACCCACTTTCTGGGGCTGCTGCAGAGCAGTTTCCTCAGCACATGCTTGAGGTAACCCCTCCCCCGCCCCCGCCCCATTGTCAACCTGGCTGTGGCTTTCTGCTCCAGTTGCAGCTTCTGGATGAGTGTGGCAACTGAGCAGGATGGCAGTGAAGCTGTGATTCCTTAAACACACCTGGTCATGAGTTGATCAGAGCTTTGTAAACAAACGTCACACTCTTACACAAGGCCCGGCAGCTTGTTGGCAGGCTCCTCAGTTCTCTCCTTGCAGGCGTAATAGGGTGGTGACAAGCTGCTCCCGTCACCAGCCTGGCTGCAGCATCCTGCACTGACTGCACTCCTGGGCCAACCCCAAGCACAGCCCCTTGTAAACTGCACTGCTGTGATTCAGTGTTCGTGGCTGCAAAGGCCTGAATAGTCCTAACCATTTATCAGCTGAAGCTGGTAACAGTACTCCCGGCCACTGAAGGCACCTCTGGGAATCGTACCGGATCAAGGTGCAACCCCAACTGTGCACCTGGGCCTATATGCACATCACCGACTCAGACCCTGAACATGCGAGCCACTCACCCACAAGGACCCCCTACCAGATTCACTTTATGGGACCTCATCACACATAGTTGTTAAAGAGGACTGGGGACAAAACAGTGCCAGCAGCATCCCACAGTCTTAACACAAGGGAAACAACTAATACTCCTCAAACGTCTTTCTGAAACTGACTCTGTAGTTAGAACTAGGACCAGCCTAGAATGGTGCCTCTACGCACCTTAAGAAGTCTTGCAATCAGAATCAGGGATACTTTTCCTTCCCAATCACTGCAGAGTAAGCATGCACAGGACTGCAAATATGTACGCACAGGCTTGCCTCAGATCAGCAAATTATGTCCCAAAGCAGGATCAGTGACCATAAAGGACGTAGGTCCCCAAAGAACTTACTGTACCAATTGAGTTGCTATGGGGATTTACTCGTGTAACATTAAGTAGTTTAATGGTTACTGATGGAATTGGAAAAGAGATTACTGATAGTTTCCATGCACCCACTCTTTTGCTTGGCCCAAACCCAAAATTCAAATCCAGATGGAGAGAACTGATTGCTTGTGGCCAGCAAAAATAACTCAGGTTGTCTTGGTTCTGACTTGTTTTATGAAGCGACTGAGCCTTACCCTTTTGCTAAAGAAATCCTCCTGAGAGTTTACCCTTTTATCAATTTATTGCTTGTTTGTGTTGGTGGCAGGATGGATTAAACCATGACAGTTAATCCAGGATGGATTAAACCATGAATCAGCAGCAAAGCAAAATACTTCATATGGCAAGACAGGGCTAGGACAACATGGTCATCTTGGACAACAAGGCAAAATGTGGATGCCTGGAGGGTAAGATGTAAGCAAGCACAATTTGTGACATTGTGTAATACCATCACTGAACACATGGTGTGTCAGTTAAGGCATCAGCCTTAGTTTCCAATATTTTGGATTTGCAGAGTTTTAGACAATGTGAAGTAGCTTTAATTCTGGTCTTGAACTGACAGGGTTTTTTTTTAAACTGAATTTCCTTGGTTTTGAAAAAAATACATTTATAATAACATTGTTGGCAATCTCACACTTTCTGCAATGTATTATCATTATGTTAATGCCAATTAATAAATGGAACATTCCACCATGTTAAGGTTGTCATTCTAATCTTATTATAATCAAAATGCTTTGTCTAACCTTTCTAAAATATTGAGGTACCAGAAAGAAGTGATTATTTTATATATTCTGAAAATTTCAGGAAGGTGGTCTCTTCCCTCCGCACTGCACAGAAATAGCACCTTCTGGGAGGCAAAGATATTTTAACTTGGGAAAACAGGTAGGAGAGAAAGGGTGAGACCTCCTTCGCAACAGAGTTCCTGGTTAAAGTCATCTACCATGCTGCTAACCTTAGTGAAAGAAAAAGCCATGGGCTTGATTGCAAAGTCCATGATCACAGAAAGCAAAAGCAAAACTTAATGAAGACTCTTACCTGTTCTACTGTCCATGGGTCCAAAATCCAAAGTGTATTTAACTACATGATAGTTGTTCCATACATAAAGAAGGTTGTCCCTCGGGTTGTAATCCACAGCAGCAATGTACTGGTATGAGTTTGGAAAAGGAACATCCATTGCACTTTCCTTGCTTTGTTCAGTATTGTAAATATAGTCTATTTTATTTCCAGTTGCCTCATTATCATCATCTTCATACACAGACTTCACCACATATAAAATGCCGCAGACCATGAATGCATTGGAAGCCGATCTCTTGTCATAGGATGTATCCCATGTCCCTTCGATTCTCAAAGTATAAGGATTCAGCTGACTAATGACTATTTTGCCATTGTTTTGCTCCGTTGCATAGATTACCCAAAGCCCATTTTCATCCACAGCAAGGTCTATATCAGATTTGCCTCCCCACCTGTAAGGGGATGTGTCGTGGTAGTTGGCATTAGCAATGATGGCTTCCCCACTTTTTATTCTTGTCCGTAGATCAAATTTGACTATATTCCTGGTTCGCTCTTTGTTGAAAAATAAAGCCCCATCATACACCACAAATCCTGTGCCATCTACCCTGTGCGGCAGCTTGTAAGTTGTAGTTGGTCTTCCAGCAATGAAATCATCTTTGGAAGAGTACTCCGTTAGGGTGTCGGTTCTGTACGGAGTCCACGGCATGTAGTAAATCTTGTCAGAAGCCTGCAGGGGATCCTTGCACCAGGCTCCTGACTGGTGGTCAGATTCAAATAAATGTTCACTTTGATAGACTCCTTTTAGTAGTCCAGGGCAAAGAAAAACTGAAGGGAGGGAAAAGTTCAAAACAAAGCAAGTTACTAAATGTGGAAGAGATTCTCCGATGTGCACTTAGAAGTTTAACACTCAAGAAATTCAGGCTTCCCTGGAGTCTGAAATTTACGAATGCCTTTTTCTACTAAAGGGAAGATAAGGGGAATTTACAGAAATTGTGTCCCATTCTTCTCTTCTTTAAAAATCTCCCAGCAGATCTAGAGGGCCATAGGATTTTTCATGTTCCCAAATCTCAAGCTGGAAAATAGCTCTGACCTCAGATTTCGGGCTCCATGAACAGAAGCCCTTCCTTACCTGCAGCCAGAGTAGAAAGAGCCACACTGGTAGCTTCTCTGAGTTGTAAGAGCAACCTTGGGTAAGAGGTTTAGGAGGAAAGGAGAGGGGACTGGATCTGCCATGATATGACATCTCATGGAGGCTTTCTACCCTCCCTCCTTCCCTATCCAAAGTGATTCAGTTAGGCAATCAAAATTGGCTGTCTAACTACATTGCTGGGTGAAAAGTGTGCAGAAGCACTGTCTGCCTCCATGTACCTCCTGCTCTGCAGAGGATGCCTATAATCTTCTGAGCTGACAGGGCCATGGGCATCTCTGTTGGACATTGCACTTAGCAGCTAAAAGGCACTTAAAACATATGGGAGGAAACAACTGATTATACTTCAGCGAATTAAATAATAGGCTGGGGAAAGTACTACATAAACACATAGGGAATGAAGTCAAAGAAGTAAAGAGAAAACAACTAAGTAATAGACCAGCAGAAGAGAAGAAAGCCATAATGATAAAAAGGCAAAAAGAGCCTAAAGGAGGAAGGCTAGGATTAAGCCTTTAATAAACTAAAGTGTCCTCTGAAATACAAGAGAATTACATAATTAATTAAGCAAATCATAACTCTCAAGGTTGCCCAGTTGAAAGCCTCTGTTCACAGACCTTGTAATTATTTTTACTTTCCTACCAACCACAATTGTTTTAGACATCAAATTTCCAATTCCTAATAGCTTTATGCTAGAAAACAAATGCAATTCAAATAATATTGATCCATAATTATTTATATGCTGCCCTTCAAACCTTTCCCAGGGCAAGTTTCCACAATACATCAAAAATAATATAATAATAAAATAGAAATAAAACACAAACATGTTGGTTCTTCAGGAAATGGTGCTGTACATTTGGCTGTTCCACAGAAATGAGAAAAGATGTCCTAGAAGGGAGGAGGTTCCACCTCATCAGATAACCCCAGTAATTTCCTGTTTAGGTTTGTATATAATGCGCAGTTAGTTTGATGTGTGCTCAGAATATAAGTGAAAAGGAAACTTAATCTAACTGCACATTTTGATCAGCAAGGTGCTGGTGCGCAGTTAAATACCAACCACCTCCTCTTTTTCTATAGTGCTAAAAAACAGGCACACATTCGCAAGGATGGTATGATACTGTATTTTGCATGATTATCATAGCTCTGTGCAGGCATCTAATCTGGCAACTAAACACAGAGGTTGTGTACCCACTGGCCCATCCTTGATTTCCATGTATTCAGTGTCCCGTTTGCACAGGGGTCTTTGTGCACACTCAGTGCATGAAGTCTCTCTACATGTGAGTCATACCCTGTGAAAATGAGGAGATGGATCACATGCATACACTCCTATACAAGCTACACATGACACACAATGTGATCTGGATCCTCCTTTCTTGTCTTCATTTGTGCACATGAATATTTGCCCAGGTAGAATGCACTGAGAATTTGGTTGTTGATTTTTTTGACCCTACGTATATTTTAATATTTAACACATAAGAAATGGTATTGCTAAGATGTGAACCTCTAAATCACCACTGGTGGGTACTTTGGCAATATTGAAAGCAAGAAGCACACATGTATTCTTGAGAATTATTTTGTGTCATTCCATAAAATGTGCAAAGTGAGAGGAAAGACATTTTAATTTTTAAATAATCCTTTGGGAAAGAAAGATGGACTCATTAAATCTTTCTAGCAAAGAAAACAGCAAACACACAATATTCTTAACTTTAATCAACAGATTAAATTGGTGTAAGTTAATTATGAAAGAACTTCAGCTAGATCATTAGAATGTTAAAGTATTTATCTCATAAGGGTGTAGAAAGGTGTATATGTACATAGAAAAACATGTGAGGTGTATTTAATTACCTTTTTGTTCCACTTCTATTGTAGAGAAAGAAGAAAAGCAAGAAAGGAGAAAAAGAGAATAGATTAATGGTACTGCCAGATACTTTTGCTCTTGCATGGAAATATTAGCATTTATTTTGCTTTTGTTACATTTTGTGAATATTATATATTCATTATTATATAAGGTTTTTAGAAATAAATCAATACCTACCCATTAACAAAACTTTATTACAGTCTTTAAAAGCATGCAGCATCGTATCTAAACTCATTAAAATCAGTACACGGTGTGTATTGATTTAGGTGGATTAAGGATGAGGATCCTAATGGCTGAAAAATCTTGATTATATAGACTCCTCAGAGTTTCCAGATCACTGATGGATCAATACTTCCAAATACTTCTTTCTTCCAAACCAGAAATTCATATGGGCTTCTACAACAGTTATATTATTCCATTTTAACAGAAAAAAACCTCTTCAAATAAATGCAAAATATTTACTCCCATTAAAATAGTACATACTTTCACTTGAAAAATGTTTTTGTCAATTAATCTCACATTAATGTATGAGTTCAGTATTTTTAATTAGGTCTATGCAAATCAGAAATACTTTTAAAGACAGTTGTATTAAATAATTGTTTCCCATCTCAGCAGCCTTTTCCTGCTCTCAGTGGTGCTTTTGGGATTATTTTTTCAAAGTATAAATTAATGCCAAAAGAACTATAACTAAGTGACTGAAGACATGTATTTGGATTAACCCAGGAACTGATTCTGTAAAGGTGAAGAATAAGAAAATGCAAAAATCACGGTTGACTGGCTTGAAAGATTTGCTTAATAGACTTTCTTGAAATGTCTTGTAGAGCAAAAATATTTATCCTCTTGTATATCTAATATGTGACTGCCAAATTGCCACCATTATTGCAGAAGTGTAGGTATGTGTATTGTGACATTGATCAAAAGAAGTTCCTGTCCCAAATTCCTTCAATGTTTTAAGCTGTAGAACTTGCTCATCCGTTCCTTTCCATTGTCCTTAATTTATGTCTATCAGGTTGAGGAAATTAACCAAGGAAACAGTGGGATAAAGGAGTAAGCAGAACACTGAATGAAGAGGGGAAATTACTTCCAGACGTGTTGGACAGAAACCCACATATTGAAGACTTTGTCTGCATGATGGGGGCAGGGGGCAGCCTTTTCCTACTCCATGAGAAATTGCAGCACAAAGATGGGAAACAGACACAGTGCTGCACAATGCCATGTGGGATCAGCATGGAAGAAGGAATTTGGGGGTACATATTTAAGCGCTGACACCAGCTTCTTATGTCTTCTGTGTCAGCAACAAATGGCATTGGGTCCATGCCTAGGCAAGGCCCAAGTAACAGTGGGCACAGCACAGGAACTAGGAAGCCTCTGCTCCCATTGGCAACTGGGAGACTGTGAGGGAATGTCAGGAAGACACGAATCCGCTGTTTGCTGGGTCACTGGCAGGCTGGGGCTGTGGGAGGGCTCTAGGCCTTTGGTTCTGGGCAATCGTGTTGCCAGGGGATCCACCCAGCAGTGGGGTCTGTCTGTGAGCGGGAGTGCTTGTAGGGCTTGCTTTAACAGCCCAATGGAAAAATGCAGCGTGATGGATCTGGACTATTCGGACCACCCCTCCCCAGCTGCCTGTGACCAACAAGAGGGACATAAAACTAATGGGCTTCTTGCAGGACAGAAACGCTGAAGCATGCTAAAGCACTGCAGGAAGAATTTTGCACCAGGGATGATGAAAGGAGTCCAGGAGGCTGTAAAGCATAAGGACATTTTCCAAGGAAGGTGGCAAAGCTTAGAATAGGAAGACATTGGAGGAATGTGCCAATGATGAGAGGCCAGGATCTTTTGGTGAAAGGCAGCTGGGTCTGCAGGAAGGGACTGGCTCTAGTAAAATATCAGACTATATCTGGTTATAACCCATAGGGGCTTTAAGAATTTTGTGTCTGGCGTGGATAAGGCAAGGTCTCCTTATCTATGAATAAATGAGTAAAATGCACAAATGTAACTTGCCTGCAATGGCTTTGTTTTCTTTTTCCTTTTCATCTAACTTGTTCATGGACTGCACAGAGTTGTAAACAAAATCATTACAGTTTGCCATATCTTGAAATCCCACATTATGGTAACATACGGCTTCTTCAGGTGCTTATAATTTATGTATTTACAGTACAGTACAGTATACACCAGACAGCACAATAGAAGCCTCCTTGTGCAGCCAATGGGGGATGCATTTCACATCTAATTGCTGCAGTGTGTGTGCTGGTGGGGAGGTGGGTTCAGGTATGTGTGTGAGTTCAAGTATGTTCTGTGTAAGAATATGTTGTAGGGGGACATTAGCCCTCTACTTCCTGGCAGATTTCTTCCAAAACGGGAGGGTGTGGCTTTCAGAGTGAAAAAGTTTCTCTAGCCCTCACATAGGTGGCTTGAAGCAAAAGGTTTGAAGCAAAAAGCTCTTGCCTCGAGCTTCTGTGTCACTGAGAATTTGGAACCAGTAGGAATATGGTCACTGTGCCTAGTTGTCCTCTAGTCAGAGGTTATTTAAAACTAACTGGTATTCTAAAAAGCCAGCAGTTTGGGTGGATGGACTTCATTGGATATGTCCAAAAGAATGCAAATATAAAATATCTGATCTCTGAACAAAAATACTGGTACATCATTAATAGCAGCCTTCATAATATAAAACTATGAAGGTACCCATTATAAACTATCACTACCTGTATCACCAGTTGTAAACTAAGAATCCAGAAAGTTACAGACCTGCCATCCTAAATTTGGTCACAGGCAAATGGATGGACATCATCATCTGGGCTACAAGTGTTAAATGCACAGGACACTACCAGTGGCTGACGGCATATCAGCACGCATTCTTCCCTCTCAAACCTTTCAGAATTCTTTACAGAAGACAAACAGTTGTGGGGGCAGAATTCATCTTCTACTCCTCCCATAATTTCTAAGAATGTATTACAAAGTCCCTCCACTGCAATTTGGAAAGAAACTGTGGGAAGTTTTAGATGGATCCACTGCACTCATCCAAATAGATTTCCTCACTTCTTGACAGCCCCTCAAGACCCTGAAAATGCCAGGCAGAGTAAGGAAACCCTGCTGAATGGAACAGCTGGGACCCAATCCACCAAACCTGTGCAGAGGGACCTTGTGGAAGATAGACCCTGGAGCCAGCCCTTATTAAATGGAAGGGTAGTTTTGACCTATGAATAGGAAATATTACAAGAGAATATGGACCAGAAAGGAATAAAAGGATAGATGGCGGGGGAGGGCGATATTCAATGATAAAAGAAACCTGCTGGTTTGAGACCAGAGTTGAGGCCATTTTATGATGGGTCAAGCTCCACAAAGCCAGGAAAGCCTAGCCAGTCAGCTACTAATGAAAGCAGCAAACAGGCACAAATTAGCTAACAGGATTCTCCTGGTACTACAGTAAGGCTCTGATTTTTCACCACACGAAGCTTGACAGCACCAGGACAACATGGAGTATCATAGCTGGCCCCAGGTCCTCCAGCCTCCTTGTCTGGATTTGGGCCTCCAAGTCCAAGGGATACTGAGTGTTCATGCAGTGTAAGTTGGAAGCAAGCACAGTTTCTGACACTGCACCCATTTGCCACCTCTTTGATCTTTCCTCTCACAAAATATTTTTAGGCCATGCCAGTGTAATACAAACCTTGTAGCAAAGTGGTGTGGCAAGCATCATGCCTAACCAGGGACAGTTCCAGCCCTCCTCAGCCTTCCCCGAGAAGCATGGATACAGTGGAATGGAACTGTGTTAAGACATGTAGACGGCACCTCCATGTCACATCCCTTCCTTATCACTGTAGGTGCTCAGGCTCCTGACAGAGGAGACATTTGGAAGGATCCTCTTGCTTCCACTCACACTAGATAGGGTGTCACAGGAATTAACTTAAGCTATGGACCTGAGTGTGCATACTTGAGTGGAGGCCTAAAGCTCTTGACTATCATCTGCCATCTTAACAGTTACAGCACACAAAGAAGGGTTCTTCTTTTCACACACTCTTTAAGATGCAGGGGCCCTTCGCAGAATAATAACAATTAATTTACTACAGTCTGTTTTATGTACCTCCCCACAGATTTTTATAGGTATTAGCTCTGGGACAATACCAATACAGTAGTTCTGCAGAATTTCCAAATTTCAGAAACACACTTGGCACAGGTTGTAAATGATTTGATACGGCCATGTATGTTAAGAAAGGCTTACTTCTGAGGAAGACTGCGCAGAATTCCAGCATTTCCCTTCCTTCTCTATCCACTATTAGTCAGTGGTCTATTGAACAGTGAGAATGATTCCTTCGGTCTTCCAAACTCCCTCACTTTTATCTCAGTTGAGCCATTCTCCCTTGTCATATGCTTTCAGAATCCTGGGATGCCTCTCAAGGCAATGCAATACTGGCAGCACTCTAGTTTCAGAGTGTAACTGAGCAAGCCTGGCATAATTTGCCAGCAATTACTACCACAGGATTTCACAGGATGGAACATCATTGATAACTTTAAACCACCGCTCATAACTTCACCAAACCAATGAAAGGCACATCTACTAGACACATTGGAGCAGTGCACCTCAGTAGCTGTACACAAAAGATTGAAAGGAATATATCATAGTCCAAGCTGCAACTTGAAGTAAAAACGACAAAAGGGTTCAATTTTCAGCACATTATAACTTGCTATATCAGTAGTAATTTTTGCCAGCTTGTTTTGAAATGTTGTAGGATAGTAGACATCATTGGGTAGATCCTGGATACCAAGATTCAGGTCATTAGCTCGAGATATCATTTTTTGAAGCAGCAAAATGTTGTGGCTTAGCATGGTGGGAGCTTTTTTTTTTTTGGAACTTACTTGAAGAAGCACTCCTGTGCCTCTTGTCTATGTACCTGCTAAAGTGAGAGCAAGTGTGGGACAGAGGACAGTACTGGACATTGCCTGGGATCACATCCCTAGTCAGCCATTAAGCGCACTGAATGTCCTTCAGCCAGCCAGCCAAATTACA